GCTGGCATATTGACTGCAGCACTTTCACAGCATCATCTTTCAGGATTTGAATAGCTCAACTGGAATTCCATCACTTCCACTAGCTTTGTTCATAGTGATGCTTTCTAAGGCCCACCTGACTTCACATTCCAGGATGTCTGGCTCTAGGTGAGTGATCACACCATCGTGATTATCTGGATCGTGAAAATCTTTTTTGTACAGTCCTTCTGCGTATTCTTGCCACCTCTTCTTAATATCTTCTGCTTCTGTTAGGTCCAACAATTTCTGTCCTTTATCGAACCCATCTTTGCATGAAATGTTCCCTTGGTATCTCTAATTTTCTTGAAGAGATCTCTAGTCTTTCCCATTCTGTTGTTTTTCTCTGTTTCTTTGCATTGATCGCTGAGGAAGGCTTTCTTTTCTCTCCTGGCTATTCTTTGGAACTTTGCATTCAAATGGGAATATCTTTCCTTTTCTCTTTTGCTTTTCGCTTCCCTTCTTTTCACAGACAACCATTTTTCCTTTTTGCATTTCTTTTCCATGGGGATGGTCTTGATCCCTGTTCTCCTGTACAGTGTCACGAACCTCCATCCATAGTTCATCAGGCACTCTATCAAATTTAGCCCCTTAAACCTATTTCTCACTTCCACTGTATAATCATAAGGGATTCTATTTAGGTCATACCTGAATGGTCTAGTGGTTTTCCCTACTTTCTTCAATTTAAGTCTGAATTTGGCAATAAGGAGTTCATGATCTGAGCCACAGTCAGCTCCTGGTCTTGTTTTTGCTGACTGTATAGAACTTCTCCATCTTTGGCTGCAAAGAATATAATCGACCTGATTTCAGTGTTGACGACCTGGTGATGTCCATGTGTAGAGTCTTCTCTTGTGTTGTTGGAAGAGGGTGTTTGTTATGACCAGTGTGTTCTCTTGGCAAAACTCTATTAGCCTTTGCCCTCCTTCATTCCATACTCCAAGGCCAAATTTGCCTGTTACTCCAGGTGTTTCTTGACTTCCTACTTTACATTCCAGTGAAAGGGATATCTTTTTTGGGTGTTAGTTCTAAAAGGTCTTGTAGGTCTTCACAGAACCATTCAACTTTAGCTTCTTCAGCATTACTGGTTGGGGCACAGGCTTGGATTACCATGATATTGAATGGTTTGCCCTGGAAACAAACAGAGATCATTCTGTCATTTTAAGATTGCGTCCAATCTTAAAATGCATTTCGGACTCTTTTGTTGACCATGATGGCTACTCCATTTCTTCTAAGGGATTCCTGCCCACAGTAGTAGAGATAATGGTTATCTGAGTTAAATTCACCCATTCCAGTCCATTTTAGTTTGCTGATTCCTAGAATGTCGATATTCACTCTTGCCATCTCCTGTTTGACCACTTCCAATTTGCCTTGATTCATGGACCTAACATTCCAGGTTCCTATGCAATATTGCTCTTTACAGCATCAGACCTTGCTTCTATCACCAGTCACATCCACAACTGGGTATTGTTTTTGCTTTGGCTCCATCCCTTCATTCTTTCTGGAGTTATTTCTCCAATGATCTCCAGCAGCATATTGGGCACCTACCGACCTGGGGAGTTCCTCTTTCATTATCCTATCATTTTGCCTTTTCATACTGTTTATGGAGTTCTCAAGGTAAGAAATGTTAGTTTCCATCAATTAACATCTGAAAATGTTAGTTTCCACCAATTACACAATCCTGGGATAGTACTAGAAATACCAAACTTGGCTATTCATAAACAATGAGTTTCCTAAGGGCAGGAAAGGTCCTCTTGGTATGCTATAAAATCCAATAAATGCCCCAACTTTTCCTCAATGGGAACCATACAGTGATAATTACTATTTATAATAGCTATCTAGATAACAATTTTTTGATGAGAAATAGACAGCTTAAGAGTGAGAAATGAAATTACTATAACCCTAAGTGTAAGAGACAGGCAAGGGGTCATTTAAAAAAAAACAAAACACAAACACTCACAACTTAGTTTAATTAGTTCAGTATCAGTACTATCTTGCTTCTGGAATTTGACAATAAAAATAACAGGGCACTAAAAATAATCGGTATCCTAGTTAGCATACCAATAATAAGGCAGTATTCTTATCTGCAATGTAGATATGAGTGTGCATAAAGGAAATGAAAATCCTTCAGCTGAGTCTTACAATACTCATGTGGAAAACAGCAGCAGAATCTAAAAGTTTTCATGTGGTTTAAAAAGTTTTTTAAGAGTTTACAGAGCAGAGTCCATACAGAACCTGTCTCTAGCGGCCTGGCCCAGTCCTGGGGTGTTTAATGGGAACAGCACAGAATCGGAAGTCGTAAGATCTGAATGTGAAGCCAGGCTCTATAACTTATTAGCTATTTGATTAAAGGCAAATCACTCATGCTATTCTCAAAGAAAAGTGGGGATGACATCACTCTGTGTACCTTTCCCATGGAAAAGATGCACTGGAACTGATAATTCACTGGTATAACCTTCCCCTCTAAAGTGGAAACTCCTTGAAGGCAGGAGTCATGTCTTACTGAATTCATCATTCTCACTACTTAAACTAACATAGTGCCTTAAAGACAAGAGTTATTCAGAAATGATGAAATGATGGATTGTTTAAATACCATCCTACCAACCTAACAGAAATATAGGAAGAATTAAACCAGAAATACTCGACAAAGCCAAGTTTATCACCATCAGTGTTTATATGAAGAAATAAAAGCTATGTTTATCTTAACTTTCAGTGATTCAAGTCTTGAAAGAATAACTAAACTTCAGAAGATATATAACCAGGAGCGAAAAATATGATCAGAAATAAAGAGCTAGAATCAATAAGATTAATTTAATACAAACAAACATAAGGTCTCAGATTGATGTTTAATAATGCATGCCAATAAACGAGAGGGTGTATGTGGGAAATGATGAGGGTATATGGGATGAGGATACATGAGAAAAAACAATGAAGGTATATGGGAACAATACATGCCAATAAACAATGAGAGCACAAGGAATAATACATGCCCATAAATGATGAGGGTACACTCTAACAACTGGCACTGAAACATCCTAGGAAGGTTTCAGTTGATTTACCTAAAGACAGTGTGTTGAAATCTCCTTTTAAGCTGTGTTAGGGAATCCCCTGGCGCTCCACATGTGGTTAGGACTCCACATGCTCACTGCCGTAGGCCAGGGTTCAAACCCCGGTCAGGGAACTAAGGTCCTGTGAGCCGCGCAGCACAGCCATTAAGAAAAGAGCCTTATAGACAGACACAAAATCATAATAAAGGAACAAGATTGAGTAATTTTTTTAAAAAAGCTTATGCTGAATACAAGAAAATTATTCACTATGGTTAATTTATGTTAATGTATAGCAGAAACCAGGCTTCGCTGGTGGCTCAGATGGTAAAGAATCCTCCTGCAATGCGGGAGACCTGGGTTTGATCCCTGGGTTGGGAAGATCCCCTGGAGGAGGGCATGGTAACCCACTCCAGTATTCTTGCCTGGAGAATCCCATGGAAAGGGGAGCCTGACGGGCTACAGTCCATGGGATTGCAAAGACCCAGACACGACTGAGCAACTATGCACACATGCACACATAGCAGAAACCAACACAATACTGTAAAGCAATTATCCTCCAATTAAAAATGAATAAATGTTTTCAAAAAAAGGAACATTATCCAGACAAGGGGTAAGGGAGCAGCACAGCAAGAGAAAGAAGCAGAGATTCCAAAATGAAAACAGATAAAGAAAATGACTCAAATGTTGATTCTCAAGGACAATAGGAAAGAGAACATTCTCGTGCCAGAAGCAAGCAATCACATGCATGCTAGAGTGCAAAACAGGGCACAAGTTTCAAGAATTCTAGAAAAACATGGAAGAGAAATTATACTTAATAGTTTTCAATATTCTAAAAAATGTACAGGGAGAAAAATCAGCCTTTTAATTTCATTTTTGTCCTCTTTTTCTCCGGAGGGGCTTTATTCCAGAAGGTAACAACACTTTGGAAAAAATTCTAAGTCAGAATATAGAAAAATATTTCTTAATTTCTTTAAAAAAAAATAGGTTTCACATAATGATTACTTTTAGCCTCTCTATGCACTTTAATTCAAGTTGGCTGCCCTACTTAGAATGTCTTTTGCAACAACTAGCATCTTCCCACCAGTCCTCTAGCTCTAAATCCAGTACCTTCTCTATTTCTTTCCCATGGAGCAGCTCACAAGTGCGAGTTCACAGTGCGAATGCATTCTTTGAACTTCTGAAGTGAAATAACCTCTTTGATCTCTGAAACACCATAGCACCATTATATATATTTTTTATAATACTTAGGAAGTTCCATTGTATTCAGTAATTTGTATACAAGTTTCATCTCTTGAACCAGATTATAAGGTTTTGGAGGCCAAAACTGTCTTATGTTGGTAGACTCCACAGTAGCTAGCACAGTCGTACTTGGAAGGAAAAAACATGAGAAGAAGAATGGGGGAAGGGGGAAAAAAAAGGGAAAGAAATATAAGGTCCAAAATATAGTAGAAGGAAGATTAAGTACAGAGTTACCCCCTCAAGGGCGGGGGGACATTTGTGGGTCTATTTGTGGTTTCAAATGTCCAAAAGATGTACAAATAGTGCTGACATGCCCCCTAGGGTCCCTAGGAATTCAGCCTCAGGTTACTAGGAACTCAAAATAAGAAACATAAACTTGTAACTATTTATGAATATAGGCCAAACCCTCCTTTTTTGGCAGCAAAGAAAGGATAAGAGATTGGGGAACTGACTAAGATTTAAGGTAGAAATCTCTATCCATAAGAAACACAAACATTTCAAAAGTCCTAAAATGGGTGGTAAAACCAAAGAAATGGATGATTCGATTAACAGACTGCATCAATGGATTCTGCATAACTCTTTTCAAAAAGCTAGGGAAAAATAATGTGTTTTGAATATCACTTTGATTCTTCTTCCTGGAATTAAAATAATTTCTCATCTGTGAATCCAAAATCTGTTTTCTCCAGACATAAAAATACTTACCATCTTCCTCAGGCAACTCTTCCGGACTAAGTTCTACCAATTCAAAGCCATGTTTGATACACCACTCTTGAGCTTTCTGTCGGTTTACACCTAAAATAACATGCAAAAGATTCTTCAGAAGCAAAAAAAAAAAAACAAAAACATGAATATTGCTGCAACACTCTCCACAGTCTCAAAGTGTTAACCTTTAATGTCAATGTTATTCTAAAGGCATTCAAAATAAATAAATAAAAAGATGATTTTTCAAACCCCAAGTGTTCATTCTTAAAAAATAAAATGTAAATACTGCAAGGTTCTAAAGAGAAAAAGCTGAAGATATTTTTCTAAGGCAGTAAAATCATACAAGACATCCTGCCCTGAGCTAAGGAGACCAATGTTTTATTTACCAAGAATGGCAGACATGTGTACCACCTACTGGTGTGCCTTACCGTTCTCAGATACTCTATCGCAAACCAAGATCATCACCTCAGGTAACCATGACTCTGCCAGAGGAAGCCAGGAGGAAACACTATCAAGACCAGATTTCTAGAGGGATAAAAAAATATGCAAACAAAAACAGAAAAAGAGACATTAAGAGAACTCACAGAAAATGCAAAGGGGAAAGAAAAAGCACAAAGCAATTTCTTATTCAAGGTCCACGGAAAACAAAATCTTACTTGTGTGCTGTCAAAGTAAACCACAAATGCTTGGACAGACTCTGCAATCTCTGCGGTGACGAGAAATTTGTTTGGCACCACACACAGATTGATATCTGCTGAGTAGTATTTATTATCTATGGTCCAGGGATAAAACCTCACAGCATCGTTGGCAGTCACTTCCACAACAACATCTTCTGTTCCAAGAATATCTAAATAAATGGCACAACATTACCATGGAAAGTGCAAAATCAATATACACTGGTCAAGCTTCTCAGTAAAATACCATATTAAAAAGGCATCTACTTCCACTGCTTCTTTTTATGCAAGGATTTTGAAGTTTTCAAAGGGGATCCCATTTATTATGCTATTTTCTTCTTTGATAATTTGACTGTTAAGAGTGGCATAATTTAATTCAATTAATTGGCATTTTTCTTTCAGAATATAAAAACTAGGGAATTCCCTGAAGGTCCAGTGGTTAGGACCCTATGCTTCCAATGCAGGGGGCATGGGTTCAATCCCTGGTCAGGGAGTTAAGATACTACATGCCATATGGCGCATCCAAAAAGAGAATATGAAAACTACTGTGACTAGATTAGACAATACTAGAGCACAAAATAGTCACCTAACAAAACACCTACTAAAGAGCGTGTGGAAGAGAAAAAATAACAGTTACATTTATTTTATTGCTTACGTACTTTCTGGAAGCTCAAAGACTAAGAAAAGTCAGGAATATTTAACTATTCTGTACTTACTACAAGCTAAAAGGAAGATGGCAGCAAGGCTAACCTTTAACAAGATGAAAGGGCTACACACAGTCCCTAGGCCAAATGCTGACACATTAATTCAACTAATAAAATAAAAGAATGGATACTGATAAATGACCCCATTCCATTTATATTCAGCCTTGTTCAGATTCTTTGAAAGCCAATTCAAATTCTTGTTGACAAAGACACTTTTGGCAAATTTTAATATAAAAGAGCCAAGAAAATTAAATGATTTAGGAGAGAACCAAATCTTTCAGAAATTCATGTGTAGTAAGGGTATAACTTAAAATTCTTAGAGTAAAAGCCAAGTCAATGATGAACGAATATAGCTGTAGTCATCGGACCATCAGGGAGCCTTTTGCTTCTATAAAGTCATACAATATTAGAACTGGAAGAGACATCAGAAACTGTTCTAACCCAAACTCCCATCTCTCATACCCCAAACCACAATCATCATTTTACACAGATGTAGAAAATAAACTTAAGAGATCTAAAATGACATGCCACTAACTGGGTTATTATAAGAATACAGAGCAAAATGGCCACAAACTCTTTTTTAATACATACTAAGATGAACATATATATGGGCCTCTGAGGTGGCTCAGTGGTAAAAAATCTGCATGAAATGCAGGAAGCAGAGGTTTGATTCCTGGGTCAGGAAAATCCCCTGGAGAAAGAAATGGCAACCCACTCTAGTATTCGTGCCTGGAAAATTCCAAGGACAGAGGAGCCTGGCAGGCTATATAGTCCATGGAGCCGCAAAAAGAGCTGGATATGACTTAGTAACTAAAACAACAACAAGGTGAACATACAAAATATTCCTCAAGAAAAAGAACAAAGCAGGACGCATAACCCTCCTAGACTTCAGACAATATTACAAAGCTAAGTAAGGTGGCTCAGACAGTAAAGCGTCTGCCTGCAATGCGGGAGACCTGGGTTCGATCCCTGGGTCGGGAAGATCCCCTGGAGAAGGAAATGGCAACCCACTCCAGTACTCTTGCCTGGAAAATTCCATGGACAGAGGAGCCTTGTAGGCTACAGTCCATGGGGTCGCAAAGAATCGGACACAACTGAGCCACTTCACTTCACTTCACTTCACAGTAACCAAAATGGCAAGACACTGGCATAAAAATAGGCATATGGATCAATGGAACAGACTAAAGAGCCCAGAAATAAACCCACACAACAACAGTCAATTAATCTTTGACAGAGGGCAAGAACATACAATGGAGAAAAGACGGTCACCTCAGCAAGTGGCACTAGGACAGTCGCATGTAAATCAATGAAGTTAAAACACACCCTCACACCATTCACAAAAATAAACTCAATGTCTTACAGGTACAAATATAAGACACCATAAAACTCACAGAAGAGAACACAAGCAAAACACTCTGACATAAATTGTACCAATGTTTTCTTAGATCAGTCTCAGTTCAGTTCAGTTCAGTTGCTGAGTGGTGTCCAACTCTTTGCCACCCCATGGACTATAGCACGCCAGGCCTCCCTACCATCACCAACTCCCGGAGTCTACTCAAACTCATGTCCATTGAGTCAGTGATGCCATCCAACCATCTCATCCTCTGTCGGCCCCTTCTTCTCTCGCCTTCAATCTTTCCCAGAATCAGCTCTTTTCCACTGAGTCAGCTCTTTGCATCAGGTGGCCAAAGTACTGGAGTTTCAGCTTCAACATTAGTCCTTCCAATGAACATTCAGGACTGATTGCCTTTAGGATGGACTGGTTGGATCTCCTTGCAGTCCAAGGAATTCTCAAGAGTCTTCTCCAACACCACGGTTCGATAGCATCAATTCTTCTGCGCTCAGCTTTCTTTATAGTCCAACTGTCACATCCATACATGACTATAAGAAAAACCATAACCTTGACTAGATAGACCTTTGTTGGCAAAGTAATGTCTCTGCTTTTTAATATGCTATCTATGTTGGTCATAACTTTCCTTCCAAGGAGTAAGCGTGTTTTAATTTCATGGCTGCAATCACCATCTGCAGTGATTTTGGAGCTTCAAAAAATAAAGTCAGCCACTGTTTCCACTGTTTCTCCATCTATTTGCCACGAAGTGATGGGACCAGATGCCATGATGGTTTTCTGAATGTTGAGCTTTAAGCCAACTTTTTCACTCTCCTCTTTCACTTTCATCAAGAGGCTTTTTAGTTCCTCTTCACTTTCTGCCATAAGGGTGGTGTCATCTGCATATCTGAGGTTATTGATACTTCTCCCAGCAATCTTGATTCCAGCTTGTGCTTTATTCAGCCCAGAGTTTCTCAAGATGTACTCTGCATATAAGTTAACTAAGCATGGTGACAATATACAGCCTTCACATACTCTTTTTCCTATTTGGAACCAGTCTGTTGTTCCATGTCCAGTTCTAACTGTTGCTTTTTGACCCGCATACAGATTTCTCAAGAGGCAGGTCAAGTGGTCCAGTATTCCCATCTCTTGAAGAATTTTCCACAGTTTGTTGTGATCCACACAGTCAAAGGCTTTGGCATAGTCAATAAAGCAGAAATAGATGTTTTTCTGCAACTCTCTTGCTCTTGGCAATTTGATCTCTGGTTCCTCTGCCTTCTTTAAAAACAGCTTGAACATCTGGAAGTCATGGTTCACGTACGCTTGGAGCCTCACTTGGAGAATTTTGAGCATTACTTTACTAGCATGTGAGATGAGTTCAACTGTGTGATAGTTTGAGCATTCTTTGGCATTGCCTTTCTTTGGGATTGGAATGAAAACTGACCTTTTCCAGTCCTGTGACCAGTCCTGAGTTTTCCAAATTTGCTGGCATATTGACTGCAGCACTTTCACAGCATCATCTTTCAGGATTTGAAATAGCTCAACTAGAATTCCATCATCTCCACTAGCTTTGTTCATAGTGATGCTTCCTAAGGCCCACTTGACTTCACATTCCAGGATGTCTGGCTCTAGGTGAGTGATCACACCATCGTGATTATCTGGGTCATGAAGATTTTTTTGTACAGTTTTTCTTTGTATTCTTGCCACCTCTTCTTAATATCTTCTGCTTCAGTTAGGTCCATACCATTTCTGTCCTTAATTGAGTCCATCTTTGCATGAAATGTTCCCCTGGTAGCTCTAATTTTCTTGAAGAGATCTCTAGTCTTTCCTATTCTATTGTTTTCCTCTATTTCTTTGCACTGATCACTAAAGATGGCTTTCTTTTCTCTCCTTGCTATTCTTAGGAACTTTGCTTTCAAATGGGTATATCTTTCCTTTTCTCCTTTGCCTTTTGCTTCTCTTCTTTTCACAGTTATTTGTACGGCCTCCTCAGATAGCCATTTTCCTTTTTTTGCATTTCTTAGATCAGTCTACCAAGGCAATAGAAATAAAAGCAAAAATAAACAAATGGGACCTAATCAAACTTACAAGCTTTTGTACAGCAAAGGAAACGATAAATAAAACTAAAAGACAGCCTATGGACTTAGAGAAAATATTTGCAAATCATGCAACTGACAAGGGTTTGATTTCCAAAACATACAAACAGTTCATATAAATCAACAGCAACAAAAAAAGAGCCCAATCAAAAAATGGGTGGAGGACCTAAACAGATATTTCTCCAAAGAAGACACACAGAAAAGATGCTCAACATCATTAATTATTAAGAAAATGCAAATCAAAACTACCATGACCACCATTAAAAAGGCTGTATATTACAAATGCTAGAGAGGGTATGGAGAAAAGGGAACCCTGCTACACTGTTGGGAGGAATGTAAGTTGGTACAGTTACTGTGGAAAACAGTATGGAGGTTCCTCAAAAAAATAAAAATATAATTACCATATGATTCAGCAATCCCACTCTTAGATATATACCCAGACAAAACTATAATTTGAAAAGATACATGCACCCCTATGTTCGTCGCAGCACCGTTCATGACAGCCAAGACACAGAAACAACCTGAACGTCCACCAGCAGACGCGGGGACGAAGAAGATGTGGTGCCTGTGCACCATGGAACCCAACCATCAAAGAAAGGAAACGATGCCATGTTCAGTGATGTGGCTGGACTAGAAACTACCATACTATAGGACTCAGGGAAAAAGACAAACACCATACGCTATCACTCATATGTAGATTCTAAAATATGACACAAATGGGGGGGTGGGAAAGAGAGCGACTGGGAGTTTAGGATTGGCAGATGCAAACTATTATATACAGGGTGGATAAACAAGGTTCTACTATATATAGCACAGGGAACTATATTCCATAGTCTCTGATAAACCACAAAGGAAAAGATTATGAAAAAGAACATATACATATATATGCATAACTGAATGACGTTGCTGCACAGCAGACATTAACATCATAAATCGTCTAAACCTCAACAAAATAAATTAAAAAAAAAAATTCCTCAAACTCACAATTAGCAGGACACAGAAAACTGGAAGTTAAATTTAAAATTCCAGACCTAGGATTATATATT